GGCCATAAGTTAACAAAATCCGTATATTGATGTCCAGATGGCCAACTCCCAACCTTGGCAGTCTAACCTCCAACTACAGGTATAGATAAGAGTAGACATAGGCAATTCAATTCAAATCGGGGCCGACAGGCGCGCTATGCATCATTCTCTTGGCTCCTAACATGGAAAGAGGTCGTCATCTTTTGGATACTTTCATAATATACAAACAAGCCTGATCATAATATTTGCAGTAATCAATCGCAACCTTGAAGGAAATCAATCCCAGTCATCATCGTAATCTTCAACGTTCAGGTCATCGTCATTTTTGTAGTCGTCCTCGTTATCACGCTTCTTCAGACGAACATCACTCTCCTTCAAAGCACCAATTTCCACGAGCAGACGCTCAATATCTATGCATTTGATTAGTGCATCACCCTTATATTATTCCTGCCTTGAACGGAACTCACCTTCAACCTTGGTCCGGGGACCCTTCAACTGCTGGAGCGTAATAAGCTGCTTCTTGATCTCGGTATCCTTGTACACCAAGATTGTGGGCGTGTTCTTCTCAGGATATCCCTCAATACACATATCAGCACGAATCTCGCAGAACTTGATATCGCCGAATTTGGCAGCAAGCTCCCGCCAGAGTTCTGTCAAAACGCGCGATTCAACGTTCCCGCCCATCGATGTGAGGTTGACTAGTACAAAAGCACTGTTTGATGCTTCTGTCACCTCACGGGCATAATCGACTTTCTGAAGTGGGAAGACCTGGTTGAAGTGGCTGGTTTGTTGGAGCGTGGAGAGCTCCGCGAATCGTTTTTGCCTGTTTAATCGGACTGTGAGAAAAAGGGGACCTCCTTTAGGTGTATAAATAATTAGACTGTAAGCTTACCGATAGCTCTGGAGAAACTCTTCATCTTCTTCATCCTCCAGCGCGTCCAACTCGTCAAGGTCTTTGTCCTCAAGTCGGTTCTCGTGCGCTCTGTGCTGTGCAGCGATCAGAGCTTCTTGAATCAGAGGTTCGGGGTCTTTGGGCTTTTCGGGAATAATGCCATGTTGGCGGAGGATATCGTTCCTATACAATATTCAATAATTGGTTAGCACACTGCATTAGTTTATACCCCGGCAGGGGTATGTGCAAACAATAGGCTTACCACTCGGTATCCTCCTTGGGGTCGACTTCAACCTGCATGGTGGATTGAACTGATCAAAGATGTATAGATCTAGTTCAATTCAAGCGAAATATGGAGAAAACGAGGGGAGTTGGAGGGATAAATGCGTTGCCTTCCAATCATGATGCCACCTGTTTGCAGTGTTTGGTTCGGGCCAAACAACACAGAAGGCCACCTTCAACTTGTCCCTGATAGCCAAGTTCTTTTGAGGTTCGAGATTCATTACCACCTCATTTACCTCAATCATATTCTTGTATTTTTCTCCGTTTTACCCTCGTTAAGCTCTCAATTCCTGGGTGGCTATGCGAATGCTGTAGTTGCCTACACCGCCCTACCCTGCTTCTGTGTACTCGACCCGTGTCCCAATTGCACCAACTCCACCTTTCTAATACGACAGCAACCACTCATTGCTGGTGCGATACCAGCTGCTGGGCAAGATGAGTTACATGAAGAAAAACGAAGATGAGGACCAGGTCATGATCAAGCTTGATCGGACCTCCGTTTTCCAAGATGGTGTGCAATCAACAAGACCCCCTGGCGCCTCCATGCGCTGTACATATTCAATGCTGACTAGATAATTCTCCTAGCACGCCTATTCAATTCCTCTCCTATCTCGCCGCGAACATGTCGAACGTTACTCACCAAGATCGCTGTCCTCATGTTTACCGGGGAGCAGTTCCCTACGAATGAAGCCACCACCCTCTTCTTCGGAATCTCCAAGCTCTTCCAGAACAAAGACCCGTCGTTGCGGCAAATGGTGTATCTGATCTTGAAGGAGCTGGCTTCCACCGCCGAAGATGTGATCATGTCGACAAGTATCATTATGAAGGACACTGCAATGGGAAGCGATGTTTTGTACCGGGCCAATGCTATCAGAGCGCTCTGCCGCATTATTGATGTAGGTTGTCGGTTGCGAGGACCTCAATGGTCGAGGGGATTTGCTGACAATTGCAAAAGGGTTCCACAGTGCAGGGGATCGAACGACTTATCAAGACCGCCATTGTTGACAAGACCCCGTCGGTGTCCTCCGCGGCCTTGGTCTCTTCCTACCACCTCCTTCCCATTGCGCGCGACGTTGTCCGGAGATGGCAGAGCGAAACACAGGAAGCTGCCTCGTCATCGAAATCATCAACCGGGTTCCTTGGTTTCTCCTCGGGCTCACAGAGCCACGCCATCTCTAACTCCAATTTCATGACACAGTACCATGCCATCGGTCTTTTGTACCAGATGCGCTCGCACGACCGCATGTCTTTGGTCAAGATGGTACAGCAGTACGGTGCTGCAGGTGTGGTCAAGAGCCCAGCTGCTCTGGTCTTGTTGGTACGTCTGGCAGCCAAATTGGCTGAGGAGGACCAAGGTCTCCGGAAACCCATGATGCAGATGTTGGATGGCTGGCTCCGCCACAAGCATGAGATGGTCAACTTCGAGGCGGCCAAGGCTATTTGCGATATGCGCGATATCACCGATGCCGAGGCAACACAGGCAGTTCACGTTCTTCAGCTCTTCCTGTCCTCCCCCCGGGCGATCACCAAGTTCGCCGCCATCCGTATCCTACACAGCTTCGCCTCTTTCAAGCCACACGTTGTCAATGTCTGCAACCCCGATATCGAGTCCCTCATCTCCAACTCGAACCGCTCTATTGCCACGTTCGCCATTACGACACTGCTTAAGACCGGCAACGAAGCTAGCGTCGACCGTCTGATGAAGCAAATCTCCGGCTTCATGGCCGATATCACTGACGAGTTCAAGGTCACTATTGTCGAGGCTATTCGCACTCTGTGCTTGAAGTTCCCCACCAAGCAGGCTGGTATGCTCGTTTTCCTGAGTGGTATCTTGCGCGACGAGGGTGGATACGAGTTCAAGCGCACTGTTGTTGAGAGCATGTTCGATTTGATTAAGTTTGTCCCGGAAAGCAAGGAGGATGCGCTTGCCCACCTCTGCGAGTTCATTGAGGACTGCGAGTTCACCAAGCTCTCGGTTAGAATCCTGCACCTGCTTGGTACTGAGGGCCCTAAGACTAGCCACCCCACCAAGTATATCCGCTACATTTACAACCGCGTCGTATTGGAGAACGCCATTGTCCGCGCCGCTGCTGTTACCGCATTGGCCAAGTTCGGTGTTGGCCAGAAGGACCCCGAAGTTAAGTCCAGTGTTCATGTTCTCCTCACCCGTTGTCTTGATGACACCGACGACGAGGTGCGAGACCGTGCTGCGCTTAACCTGCGTCTTATGGGCGAAGAGGATGAGTCTGCGAGCGCTTTCATCAAGAACGGTAAGATCTTATCCATGATTGGCAATAATAAATTTACTAATGACTCTAGACTCAATGTATTCCCTTTCCACATTTGAACACCAGCTTGTCATGTATGTGACATCTGGCGACAAGGAGACCTTCGCTGCTGCTTTCGATGTTGCCACCATTCCGGTTGTCTCACACGAGCAGGCCCTGGCCGAGGAGAGGACCAAGAAGCTCACCTCGGCCACTCCCACTCTCAAGGCCCCTTCGACCGGACCCCCGAAGGGCAAGGCAGCCGCCGGTATGGCCGAAGCGGCCAGCGCCTCTGCCACACAGAAATACGCAGAGCAACTTATGCAGTACCCCGATATCAAGGCATACGGTGTTTTACTCAAGTCCTCTGCACCTGTCGAGCTTTCCGAGAGCGAAACCGAATATGTTGTTACGGCCGTCAAGCACATTTTCAAGGAGCACATCGTGGTGCAATATGATATTAAGAACACACTTCCCGATACCCTTCTCGAGAATGTTACCGTGGTTGCCACGCCAGAGGAAGAGGATGTATTGGAGGACGACTTCATCATCCCTGCCCCCAAGCTGCCCACAGACGAGCCCGGTGTTGTCTACGTTGCTTTCAAGAAGCTCACCGGCGAGAACAGCGTCCCCGTCACCTCCTTCACAAACATCCTCAAGTTCACCAGCAAAGAAATCGACCCCGCAAGCGGCGAACCGGAGGACAGTGGCTACGACGACGAGTACCAGGTGGAGGATCTCGAGCTGACAGGCAGCGACTATATCATCCCCACATTTGCCGGCAGCTTCGACCACGTCTGGGAACAGACCGGTGCTAACGGCGAGGAGGAAAGCGAAACCCTGCTGCTCAGCAACATGAAGGGCATCAACGGTACGTACAAGTCCTATCCATCCCTCTTTACAACAAATACTTACTCTCCCAACAGATGCCACGGAACAACTGATCTCAGCGCTATCTCTGCAGCCCCTCGAGGGCACTGACATTGCCCTCAACAGCAGCACACACACGCTCAAGCTGTTCGGTAAGACCGTCTCAGGCGGCCGTGTCGCCTCTCTCATCAAGATGGCCTACTCCAGCAAGGCCGGTGTCACTACCAAGATCACCGTTCGGGCAGAAGAGGAGGGCGTTGCTGCGGCTGTGATTGCTTCTGTGTCTTAATCTCTCACTCTGTTTTTCTTTTTGTTACGTGCTTAATCCTGGTTGGGGGGACAAGAGCGTGTTCTTTTTTCATGTGTCTTGGTTCGTTAGATTGCGTCGTCCACCCCTCAAAACTTGTCAATGCAACTTTTCATCCAAACATCATATCAAATTTTATGTCTATGGGTGTTTCTGATCTTTCTTCGGTGTATCAGCTACTAGCATATAGACCTTATACTCGTAAGCTTGATCCCTGACGCCGCCTGACCGTTGTTCAAGTTAGAGTAGACAAGAAGCTGCCGACTCGCCAGATTCCAAGGCTTGTTTTGTACTCGTCGAAGGATGTTACTACTAGAGAAAAACATGTATATATGAAAGAAAAGAAAAATATTTTGTTTTTATATGCTTGTAATGTTATGAGATATTGCCATACAGTGCAAAATCAAGGGCGCAAACGCTGAGGGTCACGGGGGAACAGCGAAGCCAAACGGACGTTAGGCAAGCCAAGGAAGAACATAACAATACGGTTAAGACCAAGACCACCACCAGCGTGAGGAGGACAACCCTGGCGGAAAGCATTGAGGTAATCCTCGAAGCCCTCCTGGTTAGGCTCAAGACCCTTAGCACGCATGGACTCCTCCAACTCCTTGATATCGTTGATACGCTGGGCACCGGACATGATCTCCTCACCACGCATGAAGAAATCGTACGAGTTGGAGAAGCGCTTGTCGTTGGGGTCGGCCTTGGTGTAGAAGGGACGGACGGCCATGGGGAACTTGTCGAGGACGTAGAAGTCGGTGTCGTACTTGTCGCGGATGATCTGGCCGAGCTGCTTCTCCATCGCGGTGGAGAAGTCGTTCTCGAAGCGCTCTTGCTCGGAGACGTCGACGCCGGCTTCCTTCAGGAGGGCGACTCCGTCCATGTAGTTCAAACGCAGGGCCTTGCCGTCCTTGGGGAGCTTGAAGTCGCCGGCCTTGGGGTAGGACTTTTGGATGGTGGCGATCTGGGATGCGTAGCGCTCCTTGAGCTGGGTGAGGATGAAGACGAGCAGGTCTTCGGCGAATTCCAGGACCTCGTGGTAGTGGCCGCGGAAGGTCTTTTCGAAATCGAGACCGGAGAACTGTAGGATATGTTAAAATCTGTTTTTGCTTGTTTGAGCATATATATCAATAGATCATACCTCGGTCAAGTGACGGTGGGTGTTGCTGTCCTCCGCACGGAAAACGGGGGCGATCTCGAAGACGTTCTCCATATCACCAGCGATACACATCTGCTTGTAGAGCTGGGGAGACTGGGCCAAGTAGGCATTGCGCTTGAAGTACTTCACCTCGAAGACACCGCTGCCACCTTCCGTGGCGGCACCGACAAGCTTAGGTGTGAAGATCCATCGAGAGCCACTCTTAATCATGTACTCAGCGAAGAGCTGGGAAACACCGCTGGAAATCCAGGTGATCGCCTGGCTGGTCTCGGTCTGCAGATCGAGGACTCGGTTATCGAGGCGGGTCTTGAGGGTGACAATGGGAGTACCCTCGGAGTCAACCTGGGGACCTTCCTCGGTAGTCTCGGGAGGGGGCGCTCAGCATCCTTGACCTGCATAGGGAGCATCTGCGCAGCCTCGGAGATCATGTAGACCTTGCTAATGTGGATCTCGAGGTGGCTGATGGAGGCGGACGAGATGGGGATCTCGGGCTTTTTCACAGTACCGGTGACCTGCACAATCGAGTTGACGTTCAAACCGCCGGTGTACTTAATCATCTGTCGGGAGATGGGCTCAGCGGCCGCAATGACGGCCTGGACCTTCTGTCCCTGCTGGCGCAGCATCAAGAATGCAAGCTTGGCACTCTGCACACGCGCATTATCGACACGCGCCACAACCGTCACCTCCTTCTCGTAGTGTTCCTCCGAGAGTTCGGTGAATCGTGTAGATGGGACGACGTCCTCGGTCTCTGGGAGGGGACCGTATAGATCCTTGGCGGTGTCGTTGGCCTCCTGAGCGGCGGCCTGGGCCTTTTCTTGCGCAGCACGCGCCGCAGCCTTCTCTGCCTTGATCTTATCCTTTGCAGCCTTCTTCAGGGCGTTCTTGCTGGCGTTCTTAGTTTCACCTTCCGCGGCGGGCGCGGAGGCATCCTGAGGGGCCTCGGGCTTGGGACGGTGGGGCAATTCGGAGTCGGCCATGGTGCTGCGAGGACAATTAGGGGGGACAAAGTGTTGTGTTGGGGCCAGTGAATCCTACATCAATGATTTTCTATCCTGAGAAGTTTGCAGGACTTAATGCAGCAGGCTGATTGAAGTAGAACTGCAGAGAAAAGTGTTCCGTTGACTCACCCCGCCATGCCCTAAGAGGGGTAGGCGGTGTGAGGACTTGGCTAGATCTCATATCTACCAGGCTTGAACCAGGCTTGACTGTATATATGCACGTGAGTCAGTTCTATGTACATTTGCTCTTACTTTATAGCTTGAATAAAATGCATTAGACATGCTTACGTGGCTTGGCGCTAATATCTATTTAGAATAAACACAAATAAACATATAAACGGCGTCACATGCATGCTCATTTTCATATCAATATAGAGTGTCCAGCGTCCCTTGACAATCACGCAGCAGGCCAGCTCGAGCTCTTCAGTGCCCACTGGACACCCTTGTGCACATCATCGGCAATTGTTTTAGGAACCCAAGCAGGCTCCCCACCACTGTATACACCAGTGCGGACAAGAATCGAGTGCCAGCTAGTGCCAATTTCACTGCGATAGGAGTTGGCTCCTCGAATATCCGATTCGGGGTTATCACCAACCATGTATACTCTCTCCAGAGGCGCGAGATTAGTAGAGCTTCCAAAGGTTCTTAGTCTGTTCCGAAGCAATTGACGCTCTGCAAATTCGTAGGTCAATTGATAAGGTTTACCGATCACGGTCTTCTTCAACGCAATACCCTTGCTGGGGCCACCTGTAGTGGCAGCCCAAACGCCCTCGAGTGCTTCTCGGAATCCGCCCTGACCAAGACGGGGTAAGGGGTAGGCGGCAGCCCACCACAGATCCGGATTAGAGAAGTACAGATGGGGCTGGCCATCCTGCTGGTATCCGTGGTTTGGAAGATCGATTCGGCCGTTCTTTTTAGACAAAGTGCCCATACGGCCTTGCGACGAGAGGAGAAGGTCCATAATAACCTGAGTGTCCAAAGCCCAATCACGAGGGTCATTAAACACAAAGACGGCGTCAATCTTCAGACTCCTTGATGGGTCATTGAAGTCAATGGGGCTTGGAAGCGGTCGGGCAAGCTTTTTATAATAGTCGCTGAAGTTCTTCGAGAACGGCGAGACGGCGGGATTGGCCATGAAAATATCCGCCGGGGTGACAACATTCTTGAAACCGTATCTGTTATCATTGCTTAGCGTATACTATTCAGTAGTAGGAGGGGGTCTTGACATACTGTTCTGCCACGCGCCGACAATTATCCCCATCCCCTCCGGCCACTAACACACACTTGTGTTCCAGAGCGCTCGCCTCGTCCGATCCTTTGACCAACTCAGCAAATGGGGAGTGACTCTGTACAATGTCTGTAGCATCCAGGGGGACTCCTAGTTCTTCACTAATCTCTGCAACGCGCTCTGTTTCGTGTTTCCCGCCGCCATTGGTGAGCAGAATAAAGGGGATGCCTTGCTCCTTCAGGAGAGCCAATGAGTCGGCGGCACCAGGTATAGGTTTTGATGCACGAAGGAGGACGCCATCGATGCTGTAGCATGTGAGAAAAAGATCGAGTGGATTGCGTCCGCTGGTCAAGACTCACTCAAATGCAAATGCGAAGTTGGGGACCGGTCGAGAACTAGTAGAACTAGTTGTTTGGATACCTCGATGGGTGATGGTTTTCCGACAGGAGATAGATTGGCGCTGCAATAGGCCAAATGACCGCCAAATGGTTTGGGATCTCATGGTGGAATGTGTACAAAAGGAAATGTACGTCATCTCCAGGTTCCCGTGTCGGCCAGATCTTCCCTTCGAACTTCCCCACTCTCCACCTCTTCACTGCAACTTTCAAACTTCTAAACTTCTCTTTTGATTCGAAGCTGGAAAAAGGGATGATTTTGAATCAAATGCGGAGCAGAATCAAATGAACTACGGGTTAACCAGAACTTTCACTATCAGCTCTTCATTGTCCTCTTTATTAAACATGTACCTTCTCTAGTTCAACTAGTGCTCTCGCTTCATTAAATTGTATGGGCTGTGATATGGTACATTGCTCAGAAAATAGCTGATGGGACAGTAACATGACTCAATAAAAAAAAGCCGATGTAAAGAGATAGTATACAAGTCAGATAAGAATACATGGGCGCTTAGCAGACTGGCTCCTTATCCATGACAACGAAACCCATGTCAAAAAGAAAATCGAGTTCCTCCTCAGGACACTTATCAATGTTTTTCCACACCCACTTGTCAATTTTGGCATGTGATTCTTGGGGTATTATCCTAAGACAGCCAGGACTGATACCGATATAGCACACCCGAGAAATATTCGTGTTCAAGGCCTTGCAAAATTCATCGACGTCAAATTCCGCAGGAAAATCCTCGTCATATGGCTCCGTGAGCTCTAGCTCACGAATTGAGATAGGAGAATCAAACACAGGCAGAATGAGTAAATCGTAAAGCAGATCAACGGGTATCCGAAGAGACTTCAAAGCAATGAGTGTTGATAAGATCTCAGATGGTCCCTCCTCAAACATCTCACGGTTGGAACGGTGAAGGGTCAACTGCCGAAGCGTGGTGCAGAGCTGCTCGTTGATAAGAATCTCTTCTAAGACGGAAGTGTCCAGATTCTCGCAACCACAAAATGTCAGCCCTACCAACTTTGGGGGCCACCTGAAAAATGACATTTTCTCGATATCAAATCTCCCGGCAACCTGGAGGTATTCCAGATTGGGTGGCCAATCTTCAATTGAACCATCATCCGTGATAAACATTGAAGATGAAAGTTTAATCGTTATCAATTTGTCGAGGCCGCTGATGGCTTTCTTGAGAGCAGAAAGCGGAATTGGGTCAGCCACAAAGTCAAGGCAGAGATAGGAAAGCTTTTTGCACTTGGCCAAGGGGGCAAGGCTGTTGATCCTAGAGAAAGGAATTAGCTTAGGGTTAGATGGAATATTATTTTGATCAATATGTACTTACGCAAAAGAGACCCTTGGAGCAACAAATTTCTCCAAATTCTTCTTCACTCGGCCTAGAAGCCGTGCCGTCAGGCTATTGGAGCTGTGATGTACCAATCGTCCGAGGTCCAGGACATGAACGAGCGATCCCAAGTCCACCTTGCGCTCTCTGGAGCGAATTGATGGACACACAGTTTTGGTAAAAAGCGAGAAGCTGTTCCCTCGGTCAAGCTGAGGTCGGTAATAGAGGAATTCAATACCAGCAGAGTACCACTGGCTTGAGACCGCACAGAATCTTTGAAGTGTAACCTGAAAAAAGGGGCCATCGAGGGTTCGCCAGCCATCAAAAATGAATCCGGCAATGTGGATCAAGACCTCTGTAGGGAGGTGAACATATCGACGAGAAGTCATCACTTCGGAAGAATCAACGAGCTTCGACATTTCGCAAGTCAAAGAAACAAGAAGATTTCAAGTAGACATTGTATGGCACGAGCGTATGCGAGCTATTATGTAGGATTTGCGTGACAATCAGGGATGAAGATTGGGACGAAGAAGCAACAGAGAGACCGAACTGCTTCTGAGAGAGGCAAAGACACAGGTCATCTCAAGTGAAGGGGGATTGTTGGCAATTTTCTCTTCAATTGACTGGAAAGGGGATCGAACAGGACTGTCAATTGAGACCAGTGTAAAAAGGTCCAAGGAAAGCAGGTGGGGAGTAAGTGATGAGACAGATATGAAGGTGGGATGAGAGTCAATAATAGAAGATGTAAAGATAGGACGATGACGATCCTTATCTTTTTTTGCCGGCAGATGCGGACTACTCCCGCCTTCGATAAACATTTATATTACACCGCCTTGCGTTTGCTTGTACACAATTCCAGAGTTATATCTGGGAGTATGATAGCAGAATAAAACTGGAAATATGGTCCAAACCGTTGAACAAATATTAATTGTCCTATGGCCTTGTGTCATATTCAGAAAATAGGTCGCCAAGCCCAGATTGTTGCAAGCACCATTGAGTCGCTGTCTGCAGATGGCCCAAGCTCCTTCAATCCTACGAGGCTAGGTACCACTTTCACCTCACTATGCCCGACAAGAGAATAGCCACCATGTCGCCCCGCCCCTTGAAACGTCCTCGGGTATCTTATGACGAAGATGACGATGAAGCATCTTCGGCGGCGTCTTATGAGCGTCCCCGTCAGCATCCTCTCTATGGCCAGAAGAGCGCGTTTCCGGGATTGGATGATGGAGGCGATGAATTGCTGTACGATGATCCAGAGGATGGATTAGAATATCTACGCATGGTTCGGTATGTTTACCCTTTGATCTAAAGAGCCCTTCTGGTCCCCTAAGCGATGCCGAGACTTTCCCAATTACGCATGTCCAAGTTTGAACTAATTTTTACTCGATAGATCCGAAGCAAACTCGCTACCTGTGCTATTTTCTGCGCCCACCCAGACCACAGACCCATCAAATCCAGCATCGAACGCGCGACATGATCTAAAACCACTTGATCCAAACAATCGACCTTTGCCAGCAGGCTTTTACGAGGACGAAGCCTATATTGCTCCTGTGGGGGATGTGTACGAAGATAACGCCGCACATTCCCCTTCAAAGCTCGATGAACTCTACCCCGATGCGCAAAGGTCCTACAACAATCTTCTCCGGCATCGATTCGTCCTATTGCGATCGACCCTACGATGCAGTCCACCCGCAGGTGCTATCAACACCCTCGACAATGACCACCCTATCAGCCTCCCCCGAAAGGCCGGATCTGCGCACAAAACATGGCGCCGGCTTTTGGTCACAGTCGAACCACTCATTGTTCAACTGGCAAGCATGGACATGGACAGCGTGTTAGAAGTGCTGGAAATATTGGCGCGGATGATGTCTGATGTTGTGCGGGGCGACGACACCCAGCGCGTGCGACGCATTGGAGCCTGGGCTTGGGGCTTGTTGGGGAAGTGCCGTGAGGTTGGGCAACTTTCTACTCGAGAGGTGGGAGTTATTCGAAATCTAGGCAAACGAGCTGCGACGATTTTGCGCAAGGTACAAGAGCTTGAGAACGACGAGTATGAGGAGGAGGCCGATTTTTCTGTGGCAGACCTACCAAAAGAGGAAACCCAGCAGGGTAATCTCGTCGAGGATGCGAAATATACCACGCAAGAAGTTCAGCAGGGATCTACAGTCCAGGATGAGGAAACGACCGAGCAGGAAACTCGGCCAGAACCTACAGCTCAAAGGGAGTCTCAGCCGGGGGTCACATCTCAGAGTGAGGACGAAAGCAAGCAAGGAGAATTGCCGCAGACTGCGGAAGCAGAAGACATTAGCATTCCTGATGCATCGCTAAAACAATCCGAGCTGGAGGCGGCCAAGTCGCGCTTGCAAGCTCGGCTACAGAACAATTCCGACTATTTTGAGACACCTGCTAGCTGCGAAGAAGAAGACAACTGGTCGATTCAGACCCATGCCCTGCTCGACATGATCATGACGGTGGTTGGTGAGTTCTTTGGCCAGCGAGATCTGTTGGCTGAAAGAGAGGTCTGGGATTAAATGGATTTGATTTGCACGTATGAGATACCCCATTGTTAGTTAATATTAATTCCGTGTTACAACGTGCCCATGTCTTGTGCTCTATATACGTAGTGCTGATCATCCCGAGGTCATATCGGGTGCTTGGTCTAAGCTTTCAAGGTTTTGCGTCATGCCCCAACCTCAAGACTCCTTATCTCTTTGTTTTCCCCAACTTTTGAGAAGAATGATACTTCCATTCCAATTCTAATCGAAATGGCGCCAACTGTTGAAATAGCGATCCCGAATACCACCCTCTCAAACACTTCCCCACCATACACCGTCTACCATATCACCCTCCGCCTCCCGCTCCGCTCCTTTACGGTCCCCAAACGCTACTCGGACTTCGCAACCTTCCACAGCACCCTCATCTCCCAAACGAATGCCCCTCCGCCAGCTCCCTTACCTTCAAAAACCTGGTTTTCGAAAACCGTCTCGAATGAACGATTGCGCGAAGACCGCCGTCGCGGCCTAGAGGAGTACCTACGCGCGATCAATGAGTCTGAGGATGGGCGCTGGCGTACCTCGCCCGCGTGGCGTGCATTCCTCAACCTCCCCACCGCAGTCGCATCAACGAGCAACGGATCAACAAACACCTCCACCCGACTCCACGCCGCCATCACAGACCCCGCCGCTACAAATGCACCCATCACAGATCCGACGCTATGGCTCGACTACTATCGTGACATGAAGAACCACCTCCATGATGCACGGCTACAACTATCGCGCAGAGACCAGGAAACAACGCCACAGAAGCAACACGAGAGCTCTGCACAGGCGAAGGGCAGTCTTGTCCGTGCGGGGACAATGATCACCACTCTTGACGAAGGATTGAAGCATCTAGGACGTGGAGATAAGAGCTCCGCATCGTCCAGTCTCGGTGGAGGCGAGATCCGCCGACGAAAAGACCTGCTTATTAATGCGCGCAAGGAAAAAGACGGTCTGGAGGATCTCTTACATGCGATGGCAACCAAGAGCCGGCTTGATCATACTGTCGCATCTATCCAAGATAAAGAAGTTTTGATGAATGCTGGGAATGGCGCTGGGGATGCAGCTAGTGGTCGTAGGACGCCGGCGCGAGCGGGTAGAGTCCTTGGTAAAGAGACGGAACGGACTCGAGAGCTTGACAACGATGGGGTGTTGCAGTTGCAGAGACAAATGATGAAGAGTCAGGATGATAATGTGGATGATTTGAGGAAGATCATTATCCGACAGAAGGAGCTCGGCACGCAGATTAATGAGGAGCTCGCGGTGCAGAATGATTTGCTGAGGTTGGCTGATGAGGAGGCTGATATGTTCGTTCACATCCTTTTCTCACTTTTCCCACTTGTTTTGGTCTATATTACTAACGAGGTGTCTAGACTGAAATCCAAGATGGATATTGGAAGGAAGAGAATCGGAAAGATATCTTGATTCTGACTGTGCATGTTTCCCATTCTGTGTAGAGCACTTCTTCTATCTATACGTTTGAGCGTTTCAGCATCATTCAAGCCAATTTATCTGCAAATAGCATCTTGTTCTTGTATACTAATCTTCCTACTTGCACGGATATCGTTTTGCCCAGTAATAATCTTCTAGAATGGGTAGAAGTCGCAGGTTCCCACTCTCAGTCGCTTCAATCCGGGCTCGGCCAAGTCTATCCTCCAACTCCTCCAAGGGAATACCTTTCCGATCAATTGCATCAAGCATGAGGTTGAGCACTGCTTTATCGCCCAGTCTCATACATGCTAGGAATGGGTCATCGTGTTCACCTTGGCCTATTAGAATCCTGGGCTGCCGCACAAATTTAACCATTCTCCTGAGAGAACCGTCATCATGCTCGGTCCCGAAATTGGGACTTGGGATTGATCGTCTACTCCTGAATGGTGAGTCGGAATGAGCGTGGGCATCACTTGTTTCCGTCACGAGTGCAACCCAGTGGTCATGCTCCGCGAAAGGATCAGCACCTCTCTCCAACAAGAGTCGTACCTCTGCTTGATCGCAAACCCATTCCTTTTTGGCATTGACGTGCATGACAATCCGATACAAGGGAGTCATGCCAGGATAACATCGTTCCTCGATATCAGCACCATGGGCTAGGAGCAGATCAAGAATGGCTGTAGCATTACTGCTACCATCAGTGCGAGGAGAATATGTTGCAGCCACCGGCAAAGATAGCTGAGTGTAGAGTGAGGGCAATTTGGGATCGACTCCTCGTTCAAGTAGTCGCTTCACCACCCCAGCCATCCCAAATTGGACAGCGTGCACCAATCCTTCTTGTGCCTCGTTGCTCTCAGGGTCAATCTTCAACAGCCCCCGATCCAAGACCAGAACCGCCATTTCTTCTCCTCCCAAGAATGCCTCTTCTATCAATTTCTTGGGACTCGTTAGGAAATTAGGACCCTGGTGGTTCCTGGGCCTCTGTTGCTGCTTGAGCAATGGAGGAGGCATTTCCAATGCAATACCTCTCTCCACCAATGTTTGTACCACATCCACTGCGCCGAAGTACAATGCTCTGGTAATAGCGTTTTCGCCTGAGGATGGATTGAAAGTGCCATCGGCATATAATGCAGTTTTCGTCGGATCGGCTCCTCGATCAAGCAACATGCGAAACATGTCGACGGATACCATCGCAGCCTCGGCCAAAGCCGTTTCTCCGCGGCTGCTTATGCAGTTTATGTCAGCCCCGTGATCGAGTAAAAGCTCTGCAATTTGTACATTGCCCAATTGGATTGCCAAGGAAAGTGCGCCTTCATCCATGCTTTCTCCATCGTACTCCTGCGTATTGGGACCATGCTCGACAAGGACCGTGATTTCTCCCTGGTACGCCTGTATATTGGCGCCGTGCTCGACAAGAAGTTTGGTAATTCCAATATGGCCGTTGTCAATGGCTTGGAGTACCGGCCTCTCGTACCGTGTCTCACAGCGACGATAAACTCCATCTGCAGAGAAGCCATGCTCCAGAACACGCTTCACAATATCCTCCCACCCGTAGCCAATGGCTATGTATAGAACCTCGGCTTGTGCTTCTTCATCTTTTATCATGTCCTCAAAGTCGACGAAGGTTCGAAAAAGCTCAGCGAAAGCAGCCTTCTTCTTCCTCTCAACAGATCCCCAACTTATGTTGCCGATTATCGATGATAACAAGAAGCACTGTTTCGTTGGTTCCTTGGGATATATTTCCACTCCACGCGCCGACAAAAGATCAAGGATTGGTAGCTGACCATGTATAGCTACATGGTAGAGTGTACTCAGCCAACCTTGAACCATATCAGGATCGGGATCCGCTCCATGGTCTAAGAGAACTTCCACGATCTCCACATGGCCATGGCCAGCCGCACAAGAGAGGGCCATTGAACCGCAAAATCGTTTGTTAGGATCTGCTCCCCGTTCCAGGAGCAATTTGACCATTTCCAGGTCCCCATTTTTAGCGGCAGACATGAGAGGTGGCTCCTCTTGAGGCGAGGGTTCGGCGCCTCCATCCAGCAAGTATTCAACCAATTTCGTATTGCCCTGAAGGACTGCAGCATGGAGTGGCTGTTTATGCCAGTATACGCTTTGTTTGTCGTTCAATGCGTAGCCAGCCTCGATGAGAACTTGCACAACGGCTAGGTGGCCGTTTTCTACTGCCGCAAATACAAGATCGAAGCATGTTTCACCGCAGCAGTCGTGGTCATGTTCGAAAGTGACGTTATAGGCAACTAAGAGCTTGACAATGGCCACGTTGCCACGCACTGCCGCCAAATATAGTGGATGTAGGACTTTTGAGGCGGCCTCGGATTTCTCATCTTCACACCTCTCGCAGCTCTGGTTTTGTATGAATATACCAGTATCTTTGTTTTGTTCCAGTATCAGGCGCACGATAGTCTCATTGCCGTTGTCGACTGCCGCGACGAGCGATCTTCTGAAGTTGTAATGACAAGAGTGTGTAGAGGCCCCAGCATCAAATGCTCGGCGGATAGTCAATTCGGAGCTATGCTTTGCTGCCCATACCAGGGGGTACCCATGTAATAAGCGATTGCTGTTTTGATAGAGCATTGGATTCAATAGCAGATGTAGTCGCGAACATGTTTGCGCCAAAGAATTGAGGTAACGCGCTTCCTTAAGGAACTTGATGATTATGTGAATGAGCTCAGCTGGGAGATGTGTGAGAGACATGGAGGGCTTGAGTATAGGGAATAGAGAGAAGAATTGAGTTTCTCAAAAATCAAAGATAAACAAGTGATGTGTCGAAATGTAAGGTGGGGTGAACAGGAACTTGGCGGCCCCTCCTATGCAGGTAATCATTGTCTCAAATCCCCGGGGATCTACTCCGTCTCATTCATTACAGGGATAGATCAAATAGCATCTTCCCCGCTTAGGTACCTATAGGATACTGTACACAGACTTTGGGAGCTATGAATGGCGTTATGTACATATAGGTACATGTAGAAAACACGGGTAGATGCAGGGGGATCTAGGTCATAGTCAACGGGATATCTGGTATTCTACGCTGACCTGCATATCCGGCCCCGGTGAGTTCAGCTTATGCAGCCCTAATGCACTGGTCCAGGCGGCACAAGGCGCACAAGGCACACTGCAGAATTCGGCTTCTCGAGACACGTATCTTCAAAAGATGTTATGGCAATATCGGGCCAATCATATATTTCATGCTTTCGGTTATTTTAACTAATACAAAAATGACATTATTTATATCAACGAGGCTCCACGGAGGTTGACACATCAACAGATCGGGTCACTCCTATGCCACCAAACGTCAATCTTGGTGAACTTCCTTGCTCACTATTACTGTGGATAATTGTCTCAATCTTCGGATTTCCCTGTGCATTGTACATGAGCACATCCTCGTCTGAGCCCGTTCCCCTCACACTCATTTGATTCTTGCTTCCGTTCATTGTGCCCTGGTTTCGCATTGTGCTCATTTTGTAGTCAGACTCGAGGGTTGCTTTGTTACTGGAATATTCGTGATAGATGCGGATGATGAGAGCCGAGAGGGAAGGGAGACAGGTACAGATAATACCGATGGAGACTTCCGCGTTACTAGAGGTAAACTCTCAGTTAGGATGTTTTGTCAAAAAGATAGGCCGAGAGAAAAACACACCCTAGCATATTAATTCTCATAAACGCACGAGAAAGGTCCTTCGACTGTCCGGTAATAACAATAAGTGCCAACCGGATGATACTGGCTGCAACAGCCAGGCCGCCTGCCCCCAAGATAGTCATAACCCGCATTTTTTTCTTTGTAGACATTTGCAGAGTCAAAGTCAATGGTAATGGCAAGATGAGAATGATCATATCGCTGACCACACTGACGACAGCATCAGCCAAGATGATCGATGTCTGGTCTAAACATGTGCCGTCAACCCTCTGGTCCCAGAATTTGGCGATAGGGTTGCAGGTTCGAATTTTGACAATAACAGCCGGGATGTAGTAGGCCAACATGATTCCCATAAATATCCGAATAAACATGACGCATTTTCGGAAGGGACTGAATACACGAGTCATGATCCAGAGGAGGCACACTTTTGTGAGATAGGCTGTTGGCCCATACATGACCATTGTTACGTAGATAGTCTAGAGAGTCAGAAATCAAATGGTCGAGCGTTCGAATATTTTGCATACCTTTTGGAAAGGAATCTTGTTCTCGTCGGGGACATCCCACCAGTGTAAACCTCCTCCATAATGACCCACTATATTTGCGTTAGATACAGCTCGTCGCCTGTAGTACTAGAGACATACTGAGGATGGCAATGATTGAGTAACAGACACCGAGAAACTGTTCAAGATATTCTGTTAGTCCATGTCGTTCCCCTCCTCCCAGGTGTTAGTCCTACCCAGGCAACTATGCATGTCCCTATAGAGGCTGTCAGCATTTCTCCGTTCGATGCACTTCCAAACAAAGATTTCACTCACAATCCTCCTTCCCAAATCCATTGAGAATAAACAATCGAGTATAGACCCGAAGAACAAAGAAAGCTGTCATGCCAATGATACATAATGACTGGCAGGCATAGTTCCATTGCTGTACACTCCGATCAATGAACACATTCTCTGAGTCCCGTTCTAACAGCAATATGGGATGCATCACGAATTTCTGTAAGCGTAGGATTAGTAACGGGGGACAGCTGTTTCAAAACAACCCCGTCTTTTAGTAATATAACGGCCTCGGAATCTAGACAATAAATCGGTTCGAAAACTGGGTCTAGTTTCAAACCAACCTGCTCCCAGGAACTGCATATTTAAAATCGAGCTATGATCACCCACGATTGTCTCCCCTGAGATGGGAGAGACACTAATGCTGTCAATGGGAACTCCATCAAAAGGATTAAAAGGTGCCAAGCGTACCAACACCACTAGGTCCCCAGGGTTGATGCGCCACAGCAAACGCCAAATTTTCAGAAATTCGGTATCTTTTCTATGACCTGCTCATATAATGGATACGTAGGGGCATCATAAGCTTATTATGAATTTTCTTGTCCCTCGAGATAGTCAGGAGATATAGAAAGATATATATAGTGTGAAGGAAATCTGCTTTGTTTGACCGAATTTTACGAAGAAAGCGTGCTAAAAGCGAAAAAGAAATCTAGCATGTTTCTACATACAATCTTGATGTACTCCGTACTCCGTATAGTGTTTCTTGAAACATGACCCTTCTTACACGTTAGGTATCTAAAATTAATCCGATCATTAGAAATTACGCCAGATATATAGTGTATATTAGTACTCTCTCTTTAATTATGCTGTAGCTAGTTCGAGGACGCCTTCAATGTGTTGAAGTATTCTTTGTATGGGCAAGTCGTACAAAAGATACCTAATTTCCAAAAAAAATTGGGCGTTTACTAGGGCGCACCAACACTGGATGGTGGTGTTGATACGCCTCGCACGGTTATCTGCTCACAAACAGAAACAAATACCCGGAATTATGCATGCACAAGGTTCCCGAGGTCGCGAAGAATGAAATGTTTGACAACGACTCGTTCCTCGGCACTACAGTTAGCCAACATTTTTTCTGCTGTCCTGCTATGATACTGGATAGACCTAACGCACGGTGAAGAAGCTGCATACAAATTACATCCTGGCTTTCACATAAGCTTTCATGGTGTCGTTTATATGACACATTGTACATACAGGACCTGTCTACCTACATATCTCGCAGACAAGCTACTGTATGTTTTACATATAAAAATGCCAAGAAGTCAATCAAGATGTTAATACATAGCAATAACTCAGTCCAAGCATATACGAATAACAAGGCTTGCACAGGTATTCCCGAAGTATCTGACATGGCAAGGTTGTAATTACAATTTCTGGGCATGAAATTGAGTTTGTGGTCAAAGCTGTATATGCGGGAAGTGGACCCCAACGGCTCCATCAACCATGGTTGCGAAGAGCAAAACATGATTTAAGTGAAGTTTCGCCGAGCAAAGTGGAACTTGCATTTTGGATTGTATCAGATGGTAGGGAGTGTAAGTTCTGGCCCCGAAGGAAAAGCGAAGTCAAAAATACGAGGCAAAATCCACAACTCTCCTTGAACTCTACTAGGTAATTGCATCGCATATCATTATTCACGGTTATTGAAGCGGGACCTGTTGCCGTGCTGATGTGTATTTTCTGCTGGTACGTTCGCCCCGAGCCTTCGACCCACAATCTATAACATAATGGAGCGGGACGGCACCACCCGAGTCAATTGCCAGTCAATAGGGCTTATATTGTACATACTAGGGCCTCTTGCCGACATTACTATTGATGCTTGATTGAATATGTGACAAACTACTCAATATGGACCTAAAAAATAGCCATCACATTCGGAGGCGAGGAAACCCCACCGGGCATGTTCAAAGGTACGGACGCCACGAAAAAGCTCCACCGCTGGAGTTCCTGGCAGGTGCGTGCCAGGGCCTCAAGATCGAATAGTTCCCCTGTTGTTATTAGTCAATATAATGGATCTGCAAAACTTGGACAAAAACAATGTGGCAATTTACCGATCGGCATCCCCCATCCAGCAAGCACATATTCATGGAGGAAGATGTCAAGGGATTGTGGCGGGTAGACCTGTGGGTCTGTCAGTTGGTTTCCTTGATCGACTTGACACATGGCGAGAATTTTGTGGTTTATTTTTCGAATCACTCACCTCCCAGCTGATTGCATCACTGGCAATGGCGGCGAATCCTGTGTCCCACAGCCAGCGGAGGACTTCTGTGGTCGCTTCAACTCCAGCATGCTCCGGGCTGGGATTATCCGCATAAGCTTGTTTTTGGGCGTCTGTCATGGACGTGTCCCACTCATTGGTCACTCCTACACGGACGAAAAGAATATCACCCTGTTTGAATGTGATGTTGTTCTCCTTGGCAATTTCGAGGATGTCCGCAAGCCGCACTTGGTGAGTCGAGAACGTGGTGTATTTGATCTCCTTTTTCTCGGCCCATGTAGCGTAGTCGATCAAGACTCCACGTCCTATTACAATGGTGTGAGATGATATCAGGGGATTCATGTGAAAGGGATGAGTACCTGCAATGCCCTCTCGGGCCCAATGCTGGAGACCAATTCGATCATTTTGGCGATCATTGATTTCTTCGCTGGTCGTTCCACCATAGAACACACGTTCAGATTGACCAGGCACTGTCTGAGAAAAATGGCGGAGGCCATCCCACTGGCTACTTTGCTCTGTCAAAAAGTCGGTTTAGTGCTAAAAGATAACGAGAAGAGGAGAATTCCTCTCAACTCACGTGGATTCATAGTATAAATATCATCGAATGCCACACCTCCCAGAAGAGGCACAATCTCATGATGACATGGCTGCCGGTTGAGATTAGGGTAATCCAATTTCGTCATCTCCCATCCCATCGTCACGCGTCGACCACATTTGATTTCGCTGGCAGAAGCTGCGGCGACGACTTCAGGGGTAAGAATAGCTAGTTTTCCTAGACCCTCTGCATAGCTACCTGGCTTTCCTAGCCAAACCTGTTTCGGATTCGGGAGTTGGTCAAACGGGGTGTCAAAGGGAGTCTGGGCCATTGCTCCGATGTTCTATTGTTGTTTCCACTGGTCGGAGCTGTAAAAAGTATATGTACTTTGTAGGCCCCGGGAATGCCGTAGTCTTGTTCGGAATCGAACTTTGTAACTAGCATGTGAAGTATTCCGTACACTGCAGGGACTTTTGACCGATGCAGTGGGGATATAATTTGTGGACTCAATAGCGTCGGACCGGATCTGCACTCTAATAACTTCCCAAACGCACCCTCGAGTACACCAACGTAAAATGATACAGTATAACGAGTTGGAACCAAATTTCAGCAAACGAGCATTAGCTTATAACACGTCGAAAATATTTTCGAAGTCTCTGGACCCAAACAAAGAAGTTCCGGTGATCGACATACTAGTGTTATTCCCACAACTCGGTATGCAGCCACAACTCCACAGGGTTTAGCTCCCCTTGTTATCAGCTGCTCCGTACAAAGATGCTAAGATTTCTCCTTCAAATCTGATGCTGGTATCCTGTGTTGTATACCCTTAATTCATTGTTATCATCACAACAGACCGTCATGGGTAGGTTCGGGTCACAGACCAGTACCTATAACAGGCTGGTTATCGTTTTTGTCGCTATTGGGTCAATGGTGAGTTCGCACATATCTGCACATGGTACCTATGTACTAGGTTTACTAAATTTACACAAATAGACATACGGATATTGCTCCTCGATTATCTCCAGTACAATCGGCCAGCCGGGATGGTATGCCTACTTCGACCTGCCCGCTGAGGATGAACCAGGATACGCAACCATCACTACCCCTGCGATTTCGACAGCCAATGGTGTCTTCAGTGCTGGTGGTGCTGTTGGTACACTTTTTATAATGTGGTCGTGTGATTTCTTTGGTCGAAAGGCGAACATCCAGTTCGGTGCCTTTTTTTCACTGTTCGGAGGAGCACTTCAGGCCGGCTCTAATTCACTGGCGTATGTCTCTTTTCCTGCCTTGTCTCGATTCGACTGGCACTGACAACTCTCAGCATGTTTCAGGCTGGTCGTTTTGTTTGCGGTCTTGGAATAGGTATCCTTGTAACCGTCTGCCCTATGTATCTTTCCGAGATGTCGAGTGCTCTACGCCGCGGCTGGCTGGTCGGCCACCACGCTATTTTCCTGGTCTTTGGATATATGCTTTCAGGATGGGTGGGTTATGCTTGCTACTATGCAACAGGGTCTCTTTCTGAGCTTGGATGGAGATTTCCTCTCGCCTTGCAATGCTTGCCTGCGCTGGTGCTGCTTCTGGGATCTCCCTGGCTCCCGCGCTCTCCTCGCTGGTTGATATCGAAGGGTAAACTAGACGAGGCGCAGCATGTTCTTGAGCGGCTCCGCGAATCACCAGACGATCCGAACAACTTGGCTGCCAAGGAAGAGTTCTTCCAGACAAAAGAGCAAATCAAACTCGAGGCAGAGAGATTGGCTACTTGTGGCAGCGTGTGGAAGGCGGTCTTTACAAGGAAGGCATACCGAAAGCGAATGGCTATCGGTTTCCTTACCCAGTGGGGCGCTGAATTTGGTGGACCTTTGATCATCGTGAGTGTGGGGATACCTAATTCAAAAGTATATCCCACTAACAACGGCTAGAACAACTACGCCGTGCTTCTGTACACAAACTTGGGCATGGAGGGCGGTATGCCTCTGCTCCTGAGTGCTGTCTGGCTGACGACAGCTGGTGAGGATAAACCCCTAGGATCTACTATATACCCCGTTTGCTAACCTAGCTCAGGTGTGATCTACAATCCTCTAGGTGCCTGGCTCCATGATAAAGTCAATTCCCGGCGTGGCATGTACATCATCGGCTTTGTTGGCATTATCATCTCTACGTCCTGTCTGGCTGCTATGACCGCCCAGTATGCCGGTACAACCAACAAGGTTGGAAATGGATTTGGTATCTTCTTCATGTACCTTTATCTGGCCTTCCAGGGGTGAGTCTACTTTCAACATAAACGAATGGCTGGCTACATTAAGCTGACACTCTTGCAGTACTTTCTGTGACACCACCATGTACCTCTATGTTTCGGAAATCTTCCCAACTGAAATCCGTCCAATTGGCATGGGCTTTTCTCTCTTCGGTCAATTTGCTTGTAAGTTGTCCTACAAGTTCGCCTCCGAATTCCAACTGATACATCTAGCCACCCTTATCCTTCTGCAAACTGCCCCCATGGGCTTCGGCAACGTTGGCTGGAAATACTATCTTGTCATTATTTGCTGGTCTGCATTCTTCATTCCAGGTATGTTTTCTTCCCGATCAAGATCCACCCGTCATCTAAAATTCTGCTAACATAAATTGTAGTCATCTACTTCTTCTTCCCTGAGACTGCTGGTCTCACCCTAGAGGAAATCGCCCAGAACTTCGGTGAGGAGGTTGCTGTTAATCTCACCGGCGCTACGGACGAGGAAAAAGCTCGGCTTGACCACCAGCTAGCCACGGGCGAGAACGCTCAATTGCCTATAAGCTCAGAGCTAGAGAAAAAGACTAAGCCGTCTTCAACAGACGAGGCTGAGCAGAACGTGCCGAAAACAGAATAAACACATACTTTGAGTATGTTTAGCTTTGGCAGAGGGTAGTCTGCCAACAATGAACAACTTTCAGTTTAATTATTCTAATGTCGGCGCTATGATTGACTCATGTCTTATATACAAACAGGAAAAAATACCCTGCGCTCCATAAGTGGTTGGTAGTTGACCGGGGATTTGGATTGGTTAGATTTTCAGTTTCGTTAATTAATATGGATTTAATTGATATGGATAGGATAGGATGTATTGAATTGAAAAAAGGTATAGGAAAGAAAGATATACTGAAAGCTACCACATATAGAAGCTCTATCAATAAAATGGTCGAGGTCAAATAGTGGGGGGAAAGGTGACGAGGTCTTCTGATCAGAAAAAAATCCCTCGAACCGAATTTCTCGTCTTTCCCCCCCCTCCCCCCCACCTGGGCTTTTTGACCAAGAGATGGTCCACCTCTTTGGATGGAGAGGGTTGCCCTGGTTCTTCTGTAGCATCTTTGCTGTTTCTCTCCTTAAGTTCAGCTTATAAATCATCACGAAGATCACTTTTCTAGATTAGAATTCTCTAACTCTTATACTTACCATACTCATCTTTGAATAATGGGCTCAACTTCGAAAGTGACTTTGTTTCCCTGGGATCCCAATTCGGACGTTCATGTGAAATGTCTTGTGTCACAACGAGTCGAATGTAGTTGGGACCAAGAAAAAGTTGAGATAAAGTGGAAGAATCAACAGCTCAAAGGCGAGAAGTGCATTTATTGGATCGTACGTTCCATCAAATATTACTCCTTTGTATTCAAACCGTGTCGAATATGCTTACATTTTGTGGAAAGGTCCTGCCATCAGATGAGTCACAACGGATATCGCCGAAAGTAAACCTTGGAAGACAACACTGCAAACTAAAGAAAATAGCTAACATGTGACAATCAGAAAGATGAAATACTCCAAGACACAGCCACAACAATCAATGCTGTCCCACGCGAGCCGACAAACGAAAGCTTCATCCCTATCGGCCATATCTCACTGGATTCCAAGAACCCCGATGCAGAGCACATTAATATTGACCTGCCAGCCGAGAACATCTTCTGGATAAAGACCTTCTACGTTAGACAGTCCATCCAGGGCCAGGGAATCGGGCGAGCTGCAATGGATGAGGTCGAGGCCATGGCAATCCGAGAGCCACTACTAGCCAAGACATTGATGTTAGACACGGTTCAGAAGGACGACCAGAAGAGAGAAGAATTTGCGAATGTAACATATGGCGGTGTTCCAAAGGTAAGCCTGATTGTACAAGTTCGATGTCCTCGGTCAAGTAACTTATCGTCTGCAGACTACGAACGAGGAATGGTATTCTCGTCGAGGTTACCAATTGGTCAAAACTGTGCAGAACTATTATCGGGCCCCCGACAAGAACGGGAAGATTTGGGATACGAAGACAGTTTTTATGAGAAAGGATATTGCGGGTGATTGTTGAAGGTACAATATAGTATATATCGTATCACATAGGGTTTTAGTGATTGATATAATTTTAATTGTCTCTCATAATACGGAATACCCAAGTAAAATATGTATGTACAAAGTCATAGATTAAGAGATAAATGGATATCCCCAAGCTTTGCTGTCTCATTTTCTCATACTTCGGGTTTCCCCGACATGGCACGCTAAGCCTAAACTGGAAGAGGCAAACTGACCGCGGGCACATTTTTCCCTTTTTTTCTGAATCACCTCTATGCATTGGTTCTCGAGCCATGAGAAACGACGATCGGCGTTCTGCATCGCCTGCGACGCGCAAAAATGGCACTTTGCAGTCGTGTGAACCCTGTCGAAGATCCAAACAGCGATGTGACCATGACCGGCCGAACTGTCGCCGATGCATCGCAAAAAGAATCAGCGATAAATGTTTCTATCATCCAGCTCCAATGACTAGACGGAGACCTTCCGATCCAATCAATCCAGTAATAGTTTCTAGTCGATTGACTAGTCAGCCAACCTCAAAGTAAGCATTTCCTACAACGGATGATAGACCCATACTAATATGTAAAAACAGTGCTTCCAGCCCGGGCTCAGGCTCACTGGGGAATGGGCGTATCTTCGCGCCATTAGAACCACCCTCAGCTCTTCCTGGATACCTGGGATCGACAAGTTACTCTGCGGTTCTAACTGAGCACCGCAGTGATGTTTCCTTCGAGCCTGAAGAGAGCACAGATTCCTCTGCGGGGTTGGTAGTAGAACCCGATCGACTCCAATCCGGAGTTGATGTACTGCGGTTTTTGTACAACCTCACTGTGTGTGATATGCTGATTGAACGGTTCTATGTTCGGACATTGAACGTGGTCGTGCCCAAAATGGTAATGGACGAACTTCTGCGCTCGGTGCGCCAAATCTTCGACGGCTTCTCTACTGATCCAACAGCACAACTGCAAGAGTTGGCGAATCAAATATTTCAAAATACTTCCCGACCGATGCAGATGCACAAGTCGATGTCACCCAAGGAATATTGCTCCTCTTTCACCGGTCGCAACCTCCGATGGGAGGCCCTTGGGTCTATCTTCACACTGTGCGGAATGCAATTAGTCATTACGCCAGACAACGACCCTGACATTACGCAGGGCTCGGATGACCCTCGAGCAAAAGACCGGTTACTAGAGCAGGTCACTGTTATAAGTACAGTTTGCCTTGGTTTCTGTGACCAGACATCGTCGGCAAACGAATTGCTAGCAATGTTGCAATTTGGTGATGCCATGTTACGAACCCAACAATATGGTGATTCTAGTAAGAATTTCCTTTTTTTAATAATCTCGATCCCTATAGATTTATTGACCGCCTGTTAGGCTACCAAGCATGGCGTCGATTGGGTGACCTTGTGTCCACGATTTATGCAGCTGGGCTACACTTGGAGACTAATAGCAATGAGAGTTGCCCATTCTTTCTTCTCCAGTGGCGGAGGCGCTGCTTTGTTGCCGGTTTCTACATGGACAAAATGATAGCATCATTTGTCGGACGGCCGCCACTGATGAACGGTCGATTCTGCACACTCGCTGCTCCATTGGATTTAAGCGACGAAGTTCTGATTGTAGGTGGAGATGTCCTCAGCAAGGCTATTTCGGAGCTAGACAGCGCCGGATGGAATACTCAAGGGAAGGTTCACCTAGTAACCCCAACTCGCCTACGCTTCCAGCTGGCTATCATTCGGGAAGAAACTCTTGAGGTTGTACTGGGAACTTGCGAGCAACACAATCTAGTCCAGAAGTCCGAGTAAGTGTATCTTCTCGTCCAATGCAGTGTTTTCTTGGTGCTGACGTGACCTTTTTGTAACAGAGAGATCCAAGCAAAATCGCGCGCCTTATGGGAATCAACTCCGGATCAGCTTCGATATGACCGGCGATCGAACGATCATTTCTATGATGGGTGGCTCACCATTGTCTATTTCTATTTGGATTATTTAATGACCTGCTTTTTGCTCTATCGAGCAGTCGTCAAGCATACGAACACCGGACAAGCCGATCTTTGCGACGTATCTCGTCGGGTGCTAGCCATTGTCATTCAAATTAATTCGTTCCGAACCCCAATGGTCGATCTTGACCGGCACTTTTCTTGGATCGTATGTCGTTCACGGTTGCCATTTATGGATGGAAGAGATACAGTTACTAACAAATGCAGGTTCTCACGTACGGTGTTCCTTCCGCTAGTGTCCTTCTCCTTGAACTACTGCGCCAATCGCATGAGCCCGGTCCACACACCATTCCTCTCCCACGCGCTGAGCTGATCCGCAATCTCAGCGTGGTTATCTCTTTCCTATCATGGGTCGCAGGCCCCGGTCACGGCAACTATCATACCTGCAAACAAGCCGAGAAAAAGCTATCTCGCATCCTTGATCAGCTTCTCGATCCAGAGCCCGTGCAGCAGCACGTGGTGGACGATGTCACAACAGGCCTCGACAACTTCCTCAATTGGTCGAACTACAATACGATCTGGGACTTCAACACCGATTATATGCCTCTTACCGAGAGCTTTGCGCCTTGAACATTGGTCGTTAAATCGTGAAGATCAGTTTGAAGTCAAAGATTTATTCATTACGTCGTTACTTTAGAACCCCCTCCGATTGCTGGCTGGTATCTGGTCATACCATCCACACATAATCGCTACGGGGAGGCGTGTCGGCCACAAAATAGGCTCGATGACAGAGCGGGCAATTGAAGTGGTCTCCCAAGAACCACTTCTCCAAGCATTCCCGATGGAACACGTGCAGGCACCGCAGTTCGCGAATCTCCTGCGTGCGGTCTACTTGCTCCAAACAAACAGCACTAAACAAAATGTCAGTCAATACTACCAGCAAAGCATGGTAAAAACATACCAAACAAATTGTCCATCGACGGCCTCAGACAGTCCCAGATTTCCCTTCGTGGTCGTCCACCACTTCTCGAGCGTGCAAGTTGGTGAGACCTTGTCCAACTTGCGCAAGCGCTCACTGGGATTTTTCCTTGATCTCAGGAATGACTGCCTGTCCCGGCGGTTGATGAGTATTGTCAGGCTGGATGATGCAGTTAGGATGAGATGGACTGGCATTACATGTACCGACGGAGGGAACATATCGGTGAGAATGGGGCGGATGGAGGGGACACAAGAGATGACAGGCAATAATATGCATAAGATGCAAATAGTCGAATGTCACTCACATCAAACTAAGCACGATGAGTAGCACTACCCCAAGTCCGATGCCTAAGACGATCGCCATATGGTTCTTCTTCAATTTGGTGTCTTCTGCCATCTCTCCAATTCCAGGATTCTCTGTTGCACGAACGGGTCAAAGTCACGTCGATGAGCTAGTGGTGACCAAGGTCAAAAGTGAGATAAAAGACTCAAAAGTTGATCCCAAACTGGTAGCGATCACAAGCTAAAGGTGGGTGTCACAACCCGGTCGCCGCACCGGTTCAGGGAGGTAGATCGTCGTATAACAGACTAGATCTTTCCCAGAAAAAAAAAAGGGAGAGAGAAAGAAACAAAGCCGAAATATCAGTCAGAATCCGAGGAAGTCCCAAGTTAGAAGTCTGAAAATATTAAAATCCAAAGGAGATCAGAATTGTAAATGCAATCAGCACAATATCAATCTGGGGATGATCTCCATGTCCAAGCGTCAGAGCGGGGAAGAGACTGTGGATCGTACGATGAACTGTTATTTGCTATCTTGCTATTTTCTTGGGCATTGAGCAGTGGATCGAACCAATCAACATTGTGAAATGGAAGGGGGGAATGTTGATCGGCTGGATTGTCCTTTCGTTGCACGGTAGGATTTGAGATACAAGGGTACGGAGTAGACACCCTCTTCGCTATTATTCGTCTAATATTTGTCTATTGGCTTCCAGATTGGTCCGGGAATCCCATCGCAATGTGCCAGATGACACCGTTTTAAAGCCAAGACTAATGCGCCTCCCTACTTTATCATTGCAAGGGTCGTATTGTAGATGGACACATTCTTCGAAGATTCTAGCTGGCAGTGTTTCACTCTTTTCTGGTATTCTAGACTCCTACTTTATTTATTTCTCAGGATTATTAGGGTCTAGATCTATGTCCGACTTGAATGGATAGGTCCAAATTGTTATTCCATATTGACCCAGGAATCCTATGGTACGGAGTAGAAGAAAGGTTAATAAATGCTAGAGAGTTACCCCGGCCCAGACCTAAGGTGCTATAGCTGTATGCGCTTATTAACAGACCTGCATACTCTACATTCGTTGCAGATACGCCTTTCTCTTTTTTGTCTAGTAGTTGCAGATCTGGCACCATGCACATGTACTATGTCACTTCTTTGTGTGGCTTGCTCAGTGTACGTCTACCGAAAGAGACTCAATACTATTGGTTTATTAGTGCACACACTCGGCTTGGAATCATTTATAAAGTAGGGGCCCTAAACAGCTGCTTATAGGGTGTCGATCAAACGTAGGAATGCTCCTAATTGGGTGGATTTCGGTCGAAGCGGTCTGTCTATACATGCATAATCAATTGTATAATATGAAGTCGATTATCTCTGTCGAAAGAGTCGGCTCTTTTTTTGTTTCTTTTTTAATAAACTCTGATGAATCTGAAAAATCAATACAAAATGATAGGTGTGAGGTTGAACGTAACTAGATATATAAAAGTAAACACGACCAATGGGACTGTGCCGGGCCCATGGAACTGATTTCCCCTAAAATTGACCCGAAGTTTGGATTTCCCAAGGCCAAAGGGGTTACATATATATGGATGTATGTAGTTATATTCAGACCCGATCGTTCCAGTCTATTGTCAAATATGTTGGCTACAGTTGAAGCTCTTTGCTCTGAAATACATACGGGGCTCTACTTCACCGGTGACCCGCTGCGCTCTAGAGGTATTACCATTGTTAACCCATGCCTCTCCTCTGTGAACATAAGAAATCTAGCCCAATTTTTTTAACTAATAGTACTCGTAAAAAACACCCGGGAGATCACATTCCAC